CAATTGACGCGCGAATGGGGCGTGTTATGAAAAGGGGCGTTTTACAAAATAGCGGGCCTTGCTTGCAGGCCCACTATCAGTTCCCTTGGGCCTGCACGCAGGCTAATCAATGCCTGACCTGTTTGAAATCATTTAATCTTTTGTTTTAATTTTTGAAGTTCTGAAGTACAGGAAGTAAAAGGTTTGTTTATTGATTCACAGTTTTGTTTATATGAACTTTGTTGAGACAAAAGTAGGCAGCCAGATGGCCAAGTGGGCAGTAATTTTGGCCAGCTACAGGCCCTTAATGACAGCTCGGGGTACAAAAACCCCACAAAATTTCTCACTAGATTACTTCTTCTGTTTACGTTACGGCAAGGCCTCTTCTAATCCACCATACCATTTACTCCTCTGACCAGTGTGACGACCAGCAACGTTACCTGGCTCCAATTGTTGATATAGAGAGGTATGCTTTTCTGAGGTAAATTAAAGGTAGGAATGGCACCAGCTACAAGCCATTTGCAGGTGGGAACTAAAGCAGAACATAAAATACCTGATTATATATAAGTTGAATTTATACAAGTATTGTTAAGATAGTAATTATAATGACTAAAATTCACAGCAAACAAGATAGATAATAACTGTAAATGGGGCTTTCTTATACTATGACATGCCCAAACAAAATCCTGTTACTTTATTTTGCCACTTTTTGCTATTAAAATAGCCTTTGAATATTGTATAATACTTTGTTTTAATACTGTATACGAAAATGTTCTACTGTCCTCAGTGACAGTGTTCTGAATTTATGTATACCTTCATTTTATGAACACAAGGATTAACTGTTATATAAATATGACCGAAACGCACTTTTATGCAAATCATTAATACAGTAAATATATATTTCCTGCTCCATATGTCTACAAATTTGATCATTTGATACATGAAATATATACGGCAAGCTTCTGCTAAGCTGTAACTTTCAAGCGTTCATACCGAAATATCAATACCTCTACCAGAGAAACCTGTTAGTTAGTCATAAGAAAGTAACTTACATGTTTCGGCCGGGTCTTCCCAAAGTGTCTTTCACAAACGCGAAGTGTTTGTTGAGCGATTTGATTTCGTAAACTTGCATCTATCTCGCGATCCAGCGTCCTTTGTGACAAGCCTCGCCAACGCTTCCCGAATTTTCGTCGATAAATCGTCGTTTTTTGTTGGAATTCAAAAAATACAAAAAATACCAAAGTGTTTTCTACTTGTCCTGCAACCATATATGAAGCAATTTGCTCCTGGTGTTTGGATATTCATTCTATAAAAGACGTTTTTCAAGTACAACAGCCTCCTCTGTAATACATTCTCCTAATAGTAAATAGATTTTGATGCACCCGTATTGTCACGTGACAGAGAACAATAACATAATTTGGCCACGCCCCCAGCTTCCAAACCCTCTCCTCTATTAACTATGCCTGATCTTATATGATCCACAGAGCAATATTATGACATTAGTTATTTCAAGAAGGTTCTTGGGATACTCTTTTGCCATTAGCCACCATTCAGAAATTTCGTTGTTGGTTTTTACCAGTGAATAGAAATATAACTATTTGTTTCTTTTAATGTTCTCTTGCCAAACGCAATTGTGTTTTTCATATACACGCCGGTTAACAATTTTCTTCCAATTCTTCTTTGTCGGTAAACAGTTTGTTGAGACAAATTCCATCAAATAATCCAAAAGGTCATATTTTGTAAAAACACACACTATCTCCGGAACAAAGCCGGTCATGCTGTTCCTATGATTCCATTTCCAACGACTCAATCTGATGAACAAAACACGTCGCCATAGTACACCAGCACTGATATTTACCAGCCTTCCCAGGAAATAAAGTTTACGCCTATCAATTTCGGCTTCGATTGATAATGTTCCCAAGAGTCCCCTTGCTGCCGAGCCAGATGTGCCAGGGAGAAGGCCTTGCATAATACGAAGATAAATATTTTGGACTCAATAAGATCGTTTTTACTCAACTTCCAAAGTTCGGATCCATAAAGAAATTTAGGAATACCAATCCGCTTCCATAGATAGGATGCAATGATAGGATTCAATCCACCACACCGAGATCCAAAACTCATTAGGAAGAAGCATACCTCCCTCTAACGACTGCGCTTAAAACAGCTGCTGAAGAATGTTTGTTTGTATCCCAGATTTTTCCCAAATTTGACCATGTATTCTTTTCACTTATATCCAGTGAGCCAAGTTTCCATTTTCTAATAGCGCGATTTGTACCGTGCTCTTCTTGATTCTCACCATAAGTTAGGACAACAGTTTTCTTAATATTAAACGTGAATTGCCATTTGTTGCTATATTCCCACGAAGTCTGTAACATTTTGTCCAGCCCTGATTTCTTTCGCGAAAGCATAGTCAAGTTGTCTGCAAACATAGGCGATCCAAGATAAACAGTGTTCAGAGAAATTCCAGCGTTCGTACGCTGTAACTCCTCAATCAGGTCATCAATGAAAACCAGGAAAAGCCATGGCGAGAGAGCACCCCCTTGCCTTGTTCCTTGTTGAATAATGTATGTTCGAGAACTTTTCCATTCAAAACGCACAAACTCTGCCATATCAATATACCAGTCTCTAATAAGTCGCCAGGCTTTACCACAGATGCCTTTGTTATGATAGAATTGATCCCCATTGTGTCAAAAGCTTTGCTAATGTCCATGTAAGCAACATAGACTTTTTACTTTTCTTCCAAACATTGATTAATAATTTCTTCAATCGTGAAACATTTTGATAAAGCATCTTGCTGCTTTGTAGATATTTCGGTTCCCTTAGTAGTTTTGATAAAACAATTCGTTCAAGAATTTTATTCATACTCGGCAGTAAACTTATCCCTTGATGGTCGTCAAATGATCGAGAATTTTTATTTCCTTTTGGGATCGGGATTTTAATCGCCAACTTGAAACAGACAGGAATTTTTTCAGACTCAATAATCAAATTAAAAAGTCTCAATAGGGCATCAATAACGACTTTACCTCCGTACTTTATGTGCTCATAACTAATTCCATCGATTCCAGGTGCTTTGCCATTTGGTAAATTCTTCACAGTTGTATCTATTTCTTCCGTGGTTATCGAGGTACTGAATATATAATCATGCTAAATTTAAACTCCGAGCATTGTAAAATTTCCATATATATATATAACTTTCTCGTTCATTTCGTCAAATTGTTTATCTTTGGAGGGTGTCGTCGCACATTTTTCATAATAATCAGCCCAAAGATCAGTTACTACTTGTGCATCATTGTACACCTTTGTATCCTTTTCCAAAACTGTTATTTTGCTTTTCTTATTTTTTTAAGTGCTCTGTTATTTAGCAATCACCAAAATTTTTCTTGACTTATCTCGTTTGAATAAGCTAATTCGTCAAATTCTTTTCTCTCAAATTCCCAGGCTGATCGTCTCTGTTCTCTTCCTCTCTCCTCCGCAGAGGCTTTAATTGGCTATGAAGGCGCGAAGCCTCTGCACTATGCCACACCCAATATGGCGTAAACCGGGGGAGGGGGGCGTGTAATTATCAAACGCAAAATTCAAGTCAAAATGACTGAGAAAATATATCTTTAAAATACTGCAACAAGCTGACAAAGAGATTATTTACTTGCTCTACGAAATAAGAAAGTGTTATGTCCAGTTTGCGAGAAAACATCTGCTATTTTTCTAGACAAGATCTCCATCTACACTATAAAACAATGCATGGAAACAACGTATTTAGCGAACAGGTTTTGGTTGCAAGCGAAGAAAGATGTATTTAAATTTATATTTGACATTTATATTTTTAGAAATGTGTCCAAAACCGCATAAAAGAAAAAATGAGTTTATGTATAGCATACAGAACCATTATTAAATTTATTATCAAGACTGAATATACAATTCAACTATTTCAACTTCAGCAATATTTATAAACAAATTAAAACGTGACCTTAAGTCGGTTCGACCTGGTTATTTGGAGGTTCGTATCTTTGGTTCAATATGTGCTATGTAGATGAAAATACCACCGTTCGATTCAGTACAAAAATATCTCCTAATTTCTATAGATAGTTTTAGTGAAGTGTCAACACTATAGCGATTTATGGCCTTTGAAAGTCAAGCGGGATTGTATATTATCAAATCACGCAATATTTATACTTGATCAATATAAACTAGGCATACATTTCGCCGAATATAACTTCGGCTCCTTGAGACGCATCCTCTTTAGTCGGTGGGGCCACCTGTGGTGCCCACCGACTCTAGGTTTGCCCTTTGGTACGCCACAAAATGACAAATTACGTCATTTTAATTACGTAATTCTTACGAAATAAAAATCAAAATGGCGACCATGGAATAGCGTGCAAAACTTCGCTATTGAATATTTGGTCCAGTTGTGTCTTTTCTTTTGGGTTTTTTGAAAGAACTATATATTAAGAATTCACTAAAAGTTATCACGACGTTTCACTGTTATGTTATCGAGGAGGGACGTGGATAATTTGTACATAATTTTATATATTTAAAGTTTGTATCGCGCGGCGGTCCGCGGAGATATTGGGCGCGCAATTTTGATGCTTTCTATATATTTGCTATTGAATTTTTCGAAATCTCCGGCGCACAATTTCCAAAATTTCCAGTCAGTAATAATATTTGAAATTAAATTTAAAGTCAGACATATTAAAGTTCAGTTTTAACTTGGCCAGTTGATAACATAACACCAGCCGATCTGTGTAATCATTCAATGCAAACGATGCATTCAAGTCGGACGTGTTTTTGATCAAGTCGGACGTGTTTTTTTTCGCTGAGCTAAAAAGCTATGGCTGATGAAAGTGTGAGAGAATCCAGTGATTTTGAAAAGCATTACACACTTAATGTTGGTTCGGCTAACGTAGAAGAGTGTAGTCGAAGTCTGATTATTACTAACAAAGGAAGTTTTAAATGGTCTGGAGAATTTGAAGCTTTACAAACGCTATTTGATGATATCCTGAAGAGCCAGACAAGTTGGTCAAAACCGGGTGGTAGCTGTAGAAAATTGGAAGTTGCAGACCAGTTAATAGTAAGATGGTACTCTGATAGTCACTCACTTACACTTAACGGGAGTAAAGACGAAGAAATTAAAACTTGTTTGCGAGAATTAGCGAAGGAAGCAATAGACCATGACATGAATACATCAGATAGTAGCTTTGAAAATCAAGAAGACTCTCCATACCAAATTAAGTTTGATGGAGAGGACAAATCATTGGAAGTCAAGCCGATGTCTCAGCCAAAATTACTGCAGACGATCTGACAATGATCTTGGAAAAAATCGAGAAAATTGAGCAGAAACTAGAACGCAAAATTGATGATATATCTCTCGAAGTATGCAAATTTCGGGATGCCGACAGCTTTGCATTAACATTGTCACGAGAGCATATCTCTTTTATTAAAGATGAAAATGTACAGCTAAAAGCGGAAAATGTCTACTTAAAAAAGAACTGGAAAATGCTACTCTTGTAATGTTGGATCTCAACGAGCATGTAAAGTTGATGGGAGAAGAAAAACAGAGCTTAATTACTGCATTAAAAATTCTGCAAAACAATGAAATTGATGATGGCAGGAACAAAAGATGGCATATTGCATCGGATAGAAAACAACCGAAGGTCCCACAGTTCAAACCAATCGAAGTATCAACTGACAGTGAAGACAATTATCTTTCAACAAACAGATATTCGGAACTTACAGATGAAGCCCTATTAAACGAGCAACAACTCGAAGAGACATCCCAAAAAAACGAGCAACAAATTAAAGTGATATCCCAGCCAAGGACTAACCAAACAAACATGCCGCAGGGTCAACAATCAAGTAAACTGCCTGGCCAAAAACCAAGCAGACGCAAAAACAAAGATAGCGATCAACGGGAACAACAAACCGGACAAGACGGTCCCAACGTGCTTCCGAATTTAAGAGAAACAAATCAAACTGACAATCGAAATCGAACAGATAGTGCAGCAACAGAATTATCCAAGCGAGACCTGAACAACAACAATTCAAAACCTGACGAGCGAAAACCAATACTAATAATTGGTGACTCGATTATAAAGCACATTGATCCAAATAAATTATCTCGAAGAACGGTGCATAAATTCACTTATCGCGGGAAAACATGTGAAGAAATTAGTGAAGCTATTGACAATACCCAGACAAAGATTGACCCATCTCATGTTATTATCCATTGTGGTACAAATAATCTACCCATCGACTCTGCTGAGGTTTGTGCTACTAAAATTATAAATTTGGCTACGAAAGTAAGAAATAAATTTCCTAATGCTAAAGTCGGAGTGTCGGGACTAACCTATAGAGAAGACGTCTCAGTGAACCCAATACGCGTTGAAGTTAATGAAAAACTCAAAAAATTATCAGTAATTCACGAATTTTCTTATATAGATAACTCAAAAATTGATAATACTTGCTTGAATAAAAGCAAGCTGCATTTAAACGATAAAGGGACATCATTATTGGCGGTTCATTTCATAAAATTTGTAAGGGGACTTGCTAGTAACAGCAGACGATCTAGTGATCGGGACAAGGGTTTTCAAATGGTACTGTGCAAGCAGCTGGGGGAAATGCTTATGAAAATAGGGAAACTGAGACTAACATAACCCTGCAGGAAAATACAGAAATATTTAGCCAACATGGTTCTACTGGGGACAGTGGTAAAGTACCGCTGCATAGCATTGCTAACATCAAAGGTTTTAAGCTTGCTTGCATTAATATAAATAGTTTATATAAACATATTGATGAGATTCGCTATATTTTGATGTCTAGTCCCTTGGAAGTGCTAGCTATTAATGAATCCAAACTTGATAATACTATCACTGACGGAGAAATACACATCCCCGGTTACGCTATAATAAGAAAAGATCGAAATAGACATGGTGGAGGGGTAGCTATATATATTAAAGAGAATATATCTTGCTTAGCTAGACATGATCTTGCCCCTGCCCAACTAGAAATGGTCTGTTTAGAAATTAATCTTCCATATAACAAATCGTTTTTGGTTAGTACATGGTACAGACCGCCAAATGAAAGTATAAACGTATTTGAAGATTACACTAAATTTGTTGAAAAATGTGATTATGAAAATAAGCAGTTGATTGTTCTGGGAGATATGAACTGTGACTATTTTAAAAATCCATCTGAATCACATACTCAAAGACTAAAATTTATATCATCTACATATCAGTTGCAACAACTGATTTCGGAGCCTACACGAATGACAAACAGATCAGCCACTTTAATTGACTTGATATTCACAAATGAGACAAGAAACATAGCAAAATCAGGAGTTATTCATAATGGTATGTCTGACCATAGTTTAATCTACGTTGTCCGCAAATTTATCCCATATAAGCGTAGACAAATCAAAAAAGAAGTACGAAACTTAAAACACTTTGTGAAGGAAAATTTCATTTGTGATCTGCTTAATATACCTTGGCAAACAATAGAAACCATTAATGATCCTAATTTGGCCTGGAAGGCGTGGGAAAATAATTTTAATGAGGTTTTAGATAGGCATGCGCCTCTGAGACTTCAGCGTATACGGCATACCGCAATTCCATGGCTAAATTCGAACATTAAAAAAATGATGCGTAATCGTGATTATCATAAAAAACAATCAATTAAATATGGCTCTGAGTACCACTGGAGACTTTATCAGGCCTCCAGGAACAGAGTCAATATTGAAATTCGGAAAAGTAAATCTCGCTATTACTGCCAAAAAATTGGCGAATGTAATAAGAACGATCCAAAAACTACTTGGAAACTAATTAATTCTCTTATTGGTCGTGCCAGCAAAACAAAACATGTTAATGAAATTGAAATTGACGATAAAATTATTCGCAACGATGAAAATATATCTGAAGCTTTTAATGAATTCTTTATTAATATTGGGCCTAAACTAGCCTTTGAAGTTTCAAATCAGTCAACAAATAAGGTTGAAACTTATTTGGAAAACAACAAGTTAATTATTCCATCCTTTCGTTTCATGTTTATTCCAGTGGACAATGTTTTGAAAACTCTAAGACATCTAAATGTTTCGAAAGGCGCCGGTCTTGATAAAATTCCGGCTAAAATGCTACGCATTGCTGCAGATATAATTGCACCCTCTTTAACTTATATTTTTAATCTATCACTTTCAACTGGAGTGTTTGTAGAAAATTGGAAATATGCGAAAGTTATACCGATTTATAAGGAAGGCAACAAACGAACTTTGGGAAATTATAGACCAATATCAATTCTACCGATAATAAGTAAGGTTTTCGAAAAAGAAATCTTTACACAACTTTACAAACATTTAAACGAAAATTGCCTTATATCCAAATTCCAATCCGGATTTCGACCAGGGCACTCTACAATTACAGCTCTTATTCAAATGTGTGATAACTGGTACGAAAATATGGATAATGGCAAGTTAACAGAGGTAGTTTTCCTTGATATCAGAAAAGCTTTCGATTCAATAGATCATGTTATACTACTTGAAAAACTAGCTCTCTATGGCGTTTCTCAACTTGAACTTGCATGGTTTAAATCCTACCTCTCAAATCGGCAACAACAGTGTCAAGTAAATGGCTGCCTCTCTAATAAAGGTGAAATAATTTGCGGGGTTCCACAAGGTTCCATATTTGGCCCGTTGTTGTTCCTAATTTATATCAACGATTTACCCAACTGTCTAAAGACAACAACACCCTGTCTCTACGCAGATGATACCCAAATTTTTGCTTCTTCGTACGACTCTGTTGCGCTGGCTAATGATATAAACTCTGATTTAGAAAATGTCACAGATTGGTTAAATGTAAATAAACTCCAATCCCACCCTTCTAAGGCTAAGCTTATTGTCATAGGATCTAAACAAAATTTGACCAACAAAGTTGGTGAATTGTACAACAGCATTATCATGAACAATAACGTAATTTCACCTGTTGTCTCGAATAAATGTTTGGGAGTTGATCTTGATGAGAGATTGACTTTGGACATCAATATTGAAGAAATATGCAAGAAGATCTGTTCAGGCATAGGAGCATTGAGGAGAATTAAACCATTCGTTCCGCAGACCTCTCTTGTTACATTATACAAATCATTAATTCAACCGTATTTTGATTATTGCTCTCCCCTGTGGGATACATGCGATAAAATATTAAAAGATAAATTGCAAATATTACAAAATCGTGCGGCTAGGGTTATCACTGGAGCAAGATATGATGATAAGATTAGATCAAGTGATCTTTTGGAAGGTTTAGGATGGGATAATCTACATGTTAGGCGGGCTAAGTTGAAGAGTATCCTAATGTATAAAATCCTTAATGAAAATTGTTCGCCATGTTTAAGAGAAAGCCTTGTAAGACTTAGTGAACTTAATAGACGCCATAATTTACGAAATCAGGAAACGGATCTAGCACTTCCAAAACCAAAAACTAATTTTTTGAAGAGAAGCTTTAAATATAGCGCATCAATGCTGTGGAATAATCTTCCATTAGATGCAAAAAGAGCGACTTCGCTCAGTCAATTTAAGCGTAGTATTGCGGAACTGTCCTTTTAGAACCATGTTGACTTAATTATAGTTAACTCTCTTTATTTACTTTACTTGACTTTATTTTTCTCAATTTGTTGTTGGGGGGAGGTTGGGGGGGTTCATATAATATTCCATATATTCTACTGTTTTATATATCACGCCCCTCCTGTAAATCAGCTTTTAGTTGTGCGAGGCTAGCGTGTTCTTGATTTTAAATAAAATTGATTGATGATGATGATGATCACAAACCGTACATGCGAGAAACCACGCGAAAAAACTTGCAAATATGCCGGCGAAACGCAAATGTAAAAAAGGGATAGCTATATAGATCGATCTAAATCGGCCAAACGAAAATACAGTTGAAGATCTGTCGTGAACCACGAAGACACAAGCGAGGTTGAAGGTCACACATCCGGTATCGAATATCACATCAAGCCACATATTGTCAATTACAATTACAACTTTCGCGGCAAAGGAATCAGTGGTTATAACATTTTTTGTTATATTTCGGACGCATTTTAATATTTTGGAAAAAAACTTCCGGCAATCGATAGATCTCCAGTCCCTGAATATAAATCAATAAAAATGTAAAAAATGATGAAATCAGTGTTTTCATCATATAATGTAACCTTAATATAAAGCGCGCACACGTCATAAATTTGAATAAATTGAAGTTAATTTACCCAAAACGCAAAACGGATATGACGTAGCCGGGCAAGCTTTTCTTCGTTTATTCGTAGACCCCTCACGAAACGTGTTTCTGCTGGGATCTACACCGTAGGCTACCCATTTATCAGTTAGCGATTGTTTTTTAGTCGCGCCATGTCTCAGATTTGGCGCATCTTTAATAAGCTTCCTACTAACGTAGACGTTCAATGACTTTGCAAGGTTCATATCTCCGGTTCGGTGCATGGTATAAAGACAAAATTACTACCATTCGATTGAGTGAAACAAAATCTCCTTATTTCCAATGATAGTTTTAGTCAAATATAGTTTTAGTCAAATTGTAGTCAAATAGCTATTTATGACCTTTGAGAGGTCAAGCGGTGTCATAATTCATTTTGGTTTTTTTTCTTGCGGTCCGAAGTCATATTTTACGCTTTTCTGCAATCTGATTGGCTACGTGAGCGGTCCGTATGAGCCCGTACGGACCGCGCGAGATTTAAAGCCGTAGAGCCAATGTTTTTATTTTTCAAAATTTAAAGACGAGTTTAAAGGTTACTTTTTAAAACATTAAAATGTCTGCAGACGATGAAAAACACAGTGAAAACGAATTTTACTATCTCACAAAAGATATTTCTCTTCCCGATAGCATTGATAGAAACGACGTTTTATTTGGCAGCTTCATTCGCGTGCGGGAGGAGTGATTGGGGAAATCCAGAGGAGGAATTAAAAAAAATAAAAATATTATTTACCGGTATGGTCGGTCCGTATAGAGAAATATTTCTCTCGGTCTTAAAAACGTCCCTCGGCCTTCGGCCTCGGGCCGTTTTTAAGACCTCGAGAAATATTTCTCTATACGGACCTCCAATCCGGTAAATAACATATATATATTACTCAATTAGTCTCGAACAATGTAAAGTAGCCATACCTTTAGCCGACCATAACTTCGGCCCCTTTGGACATATCTTTTTCGCAATAGTCTTATTCGAACCGGAATCCAAAAACACTATTTAGAGTCATATTTTCAAGCTTGTGTCTTCAGATTTGCATCTGTTATTTCGGTTTTACAAAATATTTATATTTTTAGCTGGCCCGCAAAACCGAAATACAATTGCAAATTGAATCATCAAAACAAAGCAAATCATCGTCAGCATTTATTAGCTTCAGATAGTTAGGCTTGCCGAGCCCCGGCAACGAAGAAAATGCCTCTCGTAATCCTCTGTTCTACAATGATCCGAGCATATAGTCGAAGTCTGTGACGGCACAAACAAACCCTTTGCGCATACAAAATCAACCCATACTAGTTCTTCTTTTAGCTTCCGCGTGTTTGTCATTGAAGTATGGAATATTGTGTAGACTTATTCCATCTTTTAAACATACTTTATTGGAACAGTTAGCTGCAACACAGTAAAAAGGCATATCTTTTTCGATCACAAATCTACTTATATATCCGCCGAGAGTTCATAGTACTAGTATAGTCGAATAAAAGAATATACGCCGACTCACTTGGGTGACGTAACAAAAATCGATCGTTCCAGTTTTCTTCGAACACGGACGCCTGCCAACCAAAAGCAGGGCGTTATAAAACACGGGCGGGGAAACGCGCTAATAGGGAGCTTTATAACAAACGTACTTGCAGGGAGGTGAGTCCGAGATTGGACGCACCGAGGGTGGCTGGAAGTTTCCCGAACTTACCGAGCGAAGCGAGGTGAGTTCGGGAAACTTCCAGCCACCCGAGGTGCGTCCAATCCTGGACTCACCGAACCTGCAAGTACGTTTGGTTTTTATCCCATACACCGAGCCATACACACATTTGTAGCTCTTCGCGATATATTCGTCGATGTTTTGTGAACATTTTCCCGGCCAAAAAATCACTGGGCAAGAAAATACTTCTTTATCTACGTCTACATTACCTTTACTGCATTTTTTCTTTGGTTTTTCTTTAGTCTCAGTATGTTAGTCACCGATAAAAGTTCTTTAAAGTTTAGGTTTATCGGCTAAATCTTGTCCGCCATATTTGTTATTGTTATTGCAACGTAAGCAGTTTAGCGGGTGAGCTCGGGCGAAAAGCAGGTGAGTTCGGCAAAAAGCAGGTGAGCTCGACGACAAGCTCACCTGCTCTAAACCAATCAGAAAGCCGCTTTTAACACAGGTATGGGATAATAGATTTGACTACGAGTACGACTACGAGTACGAGATTCGTCAAGCTAAACGCATGCTGTATGCTTACGCCATCCCGTACTGACGCTAAAAAGTCGTAGCCGTCGCCCATCTGAGTACGAAATTGTGGAGAAACCTCGTAGTCCTCACGACGACTTTTCAAAAAAAAACAAAGAGAGTTGACTTTTTTTTGTTTTCCAAAAATAATTTGTAGCATTTATATAGCGTTTATCCGGCGTAAATAATATATTAGTGCTAAATATCTGGCCTGTTTTTAATGTTATGACTTATTTACACGTTTTGTAGGGGATTTTAGTCGGCAGGAGATTTACTTTATGAAACTTTTTCTCTAGTTGTTGGTTTACTGTTATAAAAGTAACATTTGAATGGAAACGAAAACGACTACGGTAATTTCCTCGCACGCGATCAAATCTCGTACTCGTAGTCGTACTCGTAGTCAAATCTAAAGCTCCCTAATAAATGACCGTGCTACGTGTGATGCACATTAGGATTGGCGCGAGCGCGCTTTCTCTAAAGAAACCCAGAAAATCGTGTACAAGACAATCTCGTTCCCCGAGCATGCCCGTTCGCAGGTTAAGGGTGGGCATAGCTCTGGAGAAATCGAATTGATTTAGGCCTGTGATTGGCTAACGGCAGATAGTACGTTGGATTTCCAACGTGAGTTCTATATAAACAAAGTATTAGGAATTTCTCGTCGAAAATTTGATAGTTTTTACACTGAAATCGATTGAAAACAACTAGACATTCTGGAGGAAATATGTGTGACAGCTGCGGATTGATAGGGATACAACTACCTGAAAAATACAAGGAGAACTTCGACGTTTCGAGCGAAGGCGCTTCGACTTGTGCTGTTAGTGTTTGTATACATGTACTTGACCTTTTATATACTGTCATACCTAACACTACGTATACCCGCATAAATTCTGACAGAAGAGTTAAATGTAAATTTTAAAGCATAAAAATATATAATACTTAGTATTATTGAGGAGATTATATTTATCAGCAAAGGTCAAGTACGATGTATACAAACACTTTAATAAACAGCACAGGTCGAAGCGCCTTCGCTC